CCAGCCCGGGCCCGCCAAACAACAATGATGGCTGCAACCAAAAATGGCCGGTTGCATCATCATGGGCGCCTGTGATCCCAGGTACTTGGGAGGCGGAGGCAGGAGACTCGCTTGAGCCCAGGAGTTGGAGGTTGCTGTGAGCGTGATGCCATGGCACTGTACCCAGGGGGATAGCTTGAGGCTCCGTCTCACAAAAAAAAAATAAATAAATAAATAAATAAATAAATTTCAGCTCAGCAGGCACACTGACAGGTGCCTGTAGCCTCATCTACTGGAAAGGCTAAGGTAGGAGGATCACTTGAGGCCAGGAGTTCTAGGTTGCAATGTGCTGCAACTGAGCCTATGAAAAACCACTGTACTGCATTCTAGCTTGGGCAACAAAGTGAGATCTCATTTATTAAAAAAAAAAATTCAGCTCTGGCAACACTTCTTCTAGGAAGCTTTATCTGATTCCCCAGCTTGGGCTACATACTCAAATGCTTCTACAATATACCTGGTACATACCTTTTTTTACTGCACCTCACATTCTAGTCTAGAATACAGTGATAATCATAGTATAACTATCTATTCATGGGCTTCTGGAAGGCAGGATTGTGTATCACTAGGTTAGTCATACATTCTAGTATGCCTGGGACAGTTTTGGTCATACCTTTTTTCCCTCCTCAAAGTGTCCTGGATTAGATGACACAGTAAATGGTCACCATATCTACAACATTATCTACCTGATATTCTCAGTGGCTCCTGAAATGCTCTGAGTTTGAGCATAAAAACTGATTTCTGATAAATTTTACAAAAGTGAACACAAGGGAAATAGTCACTAAAGGGAAAGAAACACAACAGAAAAATAAGTTAACTGACAAAAACATAAACTCTCATGAGACTGCATATTTCTCATGCTATAATAACCACAATGCTCCCAATTTTCCCAATCAGAATATCAATAAAAACAAAACATTTAATCAACTCTTACTTTTCCAAAGAGCTAGTCATTTTTTTCAAATTTCTGTGGAATCGTAAGGCTTGAATATCTTGTGTCTCTATTTTGGGAGGTAGAAGTCCTTGAAGACCAAGCATTTGTCGTTCCCGTAAGGTAAATGCCATTCCCTAAAAAGAGAAATAAAAAGATTAAAAATTATTACTTACTGGGTAACAACAGCATTGTTCTTCAAAATGTAATTTAAATGCAAATTGGAGGAATGGATAAACAAAGCATGCTATATCCATACCATAGACTACTACTCATCCACTGCACTTCGCACCCACAGAGTGCTAAGAGCCACTGCACTTCACCCCCTCAGGGTGTAGAGCCACCACGCCCTCAGGGCACTACAGCCCCCCACCCTCAGGGCACTAGAGCCACCACGCCTCAGGGTGTAGAGCCCCACCCCCCCCACCCCCCGCACCCTCAGGGCAAAGAGCCAACACGCCCTCGGGGCACTAGAGCCCCCTGCACCCTCAGAGTGAAGAGACACCTCACCCTCAGGGCCCTACAGACACTGCACCCTCAGGGGTCTCATTCTTGTTCAGGCTCGTCTTAAACTCCCGAGCTCCAAGAATCCTCCTGCCTTGGCCTCCCATATTGCTAGAAGCCACTGTGCCTGGCCAACTCTTAAATTTTTTAATGCCCATACTCTTGATTCAAACAATTCAACTTCTAGGTAGCTATCTTAGAGAAATATTCATACATGAAATAAAGAGGCATATACAAAGAGATTAGTTGCTGTGTTGTTTCTAGTTCTCTTGGCTATTAGAAACTGAAAGCCCATCAATTATAATATAGTTAAGCATTCTATAGAATATCCATACCATGAATACCATAGAAATAGTTAACCATACAACTGTAAGCATGCAGTAGAAACTCCAAGACATATAACTAAATGAAAGTTGCAAATCAAAGCCCACTAGTAACTCCATTATGTTTAGAAAAGTCATATACAATTATACATTACACACAGATGCATGCACATGTTATAAATGAAGTTAACAAAATAATTGTCTGAAAGTACCTAAACGAACTCATAGCAGAGGCTGCCCTCCACTCTGAAAGAAGTAAGGCTAGGTAGAAGGGAAGGGGGATGGAAGAAATGATACTTAAGAAAAAATTAATCTATGCCATAAGAGAATCTTTTTCACCTTCTGGTATTCTGCTGTGGGGTACACTCTTTGCATCAAATCAACATCAGTAAAAACGTGGGGCTGATGACTTTGGAAAGTATTTTCCTCTGCAAAAGCAATAATTACACTGGCCAAATGTACTGGTTTCAGAATACTGGAAGGCCTGTAGCAATTCGGAATACCAAAGGCTTGTAGCAATTGCAAAGCACTTATGCAAGAAAAATGGCTAGAACTGAATAAAAACCAAACTCTGTGACACATTTTAACATCCCCAATCCATCTTCCTCTCTGGCTCTGTGGTAGCCTTGAAAACCAATAGCTCATAATCACTGTGACCATCAGCAGGCTGGAAGGCACTGGAGGGGGCAGAAGGGGCTACAGATTCTTCTAAAGCCCCATTCCCAGAGAAATGTCATTATTTGACCTATCTGGTGTTTCCCTAGAAGACTCCACTTGCAAAGCTGTTTTTATTTGATTGAATGTGGAGCTCACTCAGTACAAACAGTCTTTCCCTGAGAAGTGCTTGTTGAAAACAATCACAGTTATATTTAGTAGGGCAGCTGCTGAGGCAGTAGATTACAGTGAGGCAAACAACAGGGTAACCAAAAAGCTAAAAAAGAAAGGATAAGGAGTAAGAATGTCCATGGAGGTGGAGCTCTGACCAGCTTTGAAGTGGTATGGTGGTAGTGGAAATTGAGTAGGCCACCTGCATGAGCTGTGGACGTCAGGGAAAGGCTTGAGAAGGCCCTAAGCTCCCACCTTTGGCTGACTTTGAGGCTCTGTACAAAGCAGGCAGTGAAGGCTGTGTGCAATGGTAAATAGCCTGGCTGAGTGGGAGAGGGACACCCTAGTAAGCACATAGAGCTCCCGGACAAACAATGGGAAATGTACTGGTTCTATACATTTAAGTCTTTGTCTAATTATTCGCTGACCCCTAAACTAACCAAGCTGCGGCTTCAATAGGCACATAGAACAAGAATACAGATTTTATAAAGAATTAGTTCACAGAGATCACTAAATAAGCAAAAGCAGCAGCACTACAACAAATCTAAAAAGGAATGTGTATCGGATTTCCAGACTGCCACATTATTTAAAATGCCCAGTTCTCAACAAAAAATCATGAGATATGCAAAAAAGCAAGAACGTCTGGCTCATATGCACGTCCTTGAGAAAGCCCAGACATCCTTACTAGTCAAAGACTTAAATAAGAAACTTTATTTATTTATTTTTTTTTTTTTTGAGACAGAGCCTCAAGCTGTCCCCCTGGGTAGAGTGCCGTGGCATTACGGCTCACAGCAACCTCCAACTCCTGGGCTCAAGCGAGTCTCCTGCCTCCGCCTCCCAAGTAGCTGGGACCACAGGCGCCCGCCACAACGCCCGGCTATTTTTTGGTTGCAGCCATCATTGTTGTTTTGGCGGGTCCGGGCTGGGGATTCGAACCCGCCACCTTAGGTGTACGTGGCTGGCGCCTTAGCCGGTTGAGCTATAGGCGCCGAGCCAGAAACTTTATTTTTTGAGACAGAGTCTTACTCCATGCTCTGGACAGAGTACCACATGTCATAGCTCACAGCAACCTCAAACTTTTAGGCTTTAATAATCTTCTTGCCTCAGCCTCCAGAGTACACCACTATGCCCAGCTTAAATCAGGACCTTGAAATACATTCAAAGAACTAAAAGAGAGAATGATATTCTACCAATTAATAGAATATGAATGAAGATACAAAAATTATAAAAAGGAACCAAATAGAAACTTGGGGATTTAAAGTATAATAAATGAAATAAAAAATTCACTAAAGAGGCTCAACAACAGATTTGAACAAGTGGAAGAAAAAATATCAGTGAACTTAAAAATAGATCAACTGAGATTATCTACTCTAAGAAATGAAAAAAGAATGAAGAGGTATGCCCAGAGACTCAGAGAACTATGAGACACTACCAGCAAGTGTGCCAACGTATGTGTAACAGTCCCAGGCAAAGAGAGAAAGAGGCAGGGCAGCGCCTGTGGCTCAAAGGAGTAGGGCACTGGCCCCATATGCTGGAGGTGGCGGGTTCAAACCCAGCCCTGGCCAAAAAAAAAAAAAAGAGAGAGAGAGAAAGAGGCAGAAGAACATTTGAAGAAATAATGCCCCTTAATTTCCAAATATTATGAGAAAAATTATTTTATACATCCAAGAATCTCAACAACTCTAAGTACGATAAACTCAAACAGATATACACCTAGACACATCATAATCAAACTGTCAAAAGGCAAAGAGAGAAACCTGAAAGTAGAGAGAAATGACTTATCACATACAAGGAATCCTCAATAGGACTAATAGCTAATTTTTTATCAGAAACCATACAGGCCAGAAGGCAGTGAAATGACATTAAAAAGTGCTGAAATGCAGTGGAATGACATATTAAAAAGTGCTGAAATGCTGGGTGCAGTGGCTCATACCTGTAATCCTAGTACTCTGGGAGGCTGAGGTGGTAGATTACCTGAGCTCAGGAGTTAGAGACCAGCCTGAGCAAGAGCAAGACTCTGTCTCAAAAAATTAGCTGGGAATTGTGGCTGATGCCTGCAGTCACAGCTACTTGGGAGGCTGCGGCAGGAGGATCCCTTGAGCTCATGAGTTTTGAGGTTACGTGAGCTGTGACACTACGGTACTCTACCAAGGGCAACAAAATGAGACTCTGCCTCAAAAAAAAAAAAAAAAAAAGGCGCTGAAAGAAAAAAACTGTCAACTAAGAATTTCTATATCCCACAAAACTATCCTTCAAAAAATGAAGGGAATATGGATGGCACCCGTGGCTCAAAGGAGTAGGGCACCGGGCCCATATGCTGGAGGTGGTGGGTTCAAACCCGGCCCCAGCCAAAAACTGCAAAAAAAAAAAAAAAATGAAGGGAATAACAATTCATATTTATATAGAAGGTATTTTACAGTGTTAAAGTATCTTTACACTTTTTTCTACACAGCAATCTAAACTAAGAAATTGGGGTCTATGTTAGTCTGTTCAGGGTGCTGTAACAAAATGCCACAAACTGGATGGCTCATAAACAATAAACATTTATTCATCACAGTTGTGAAAGCTGGTTAGTCTAAGATAAAGAGTCAGTAGATTCAGGGTCTTGTGAGAGTCTGTTCCTCACAGGAGAAGACTTCTCACTATATCTTCTCAGGGTGGAAGGAACAAGGTAACTAATGGGGCCTCTTTTATAAATAAAGGCAATATTCCCATGCATAGCCCAAATAAATTAATCATGTCCCCAAAGGCTTCCAACCCCTAATACTATCACTTGGAGGGTAGGATTTCTACTAATGAATTTTTGGGGGATATAAACATTCAGGTCATAGGTGGGTCTAAACATATATCAACACTCAAGATTATAAAGCCAATGGGTGAGGGAGTTAAGATGGGACTCTCATCAGCCTTTGTGATTCCAAATCTATCTACTACACTATTATGCAGCCATATAATATAAGGATTATCAAACATTATGGAGATAAATTTATAATGTACCTTTTCCAATGGTGAAATGCTTTATAAAATTAAGTACTGCAATCTCAAAGGTAAGAGACTCATGACAAAGTAAAAACAGATGATACACTGGAATAGCAGGAATATTATTTTAAAGTTAGCCAAAAGGGCATGGGGAAAAAGAAGAAATCCAATCTTAGACGTGCATGGCCCTTTTAACTCTTTCAAAATGCTATTACCTACTTAGCTACATGAGAAAACAGAGGCCTAGAGAGGTTAAATCATTTGCTAGAGTTTCTTGCTAATAATGGCAAAGCTCAAATTAACACCTAAACTCCAGCTCGTAACCTAGCATAATGACATCCAACCTTTTAAAGTATAAGAATTAGTTTTAAATTTTCATAAAGAATTTCTTATTCATACCTGAATAGACAAATCTATAGAAAAAGAAGTTGCTAGAAGCTAGGAGGGCAGTGGAAGAGGGAAATGGGGAGTGTCTGCTTAATGGGTATTAGGTTTTCATTTGGGATAATGGAAAACTTCTAGAAGTAGATAGCGGTGATGGCACAAAAGTGAAGGTACTTAATCTCATTGAATTGTAAAGGTTTAAATGACTGCAAATTTTACATTTATTTTACCACTAAAAAAGTTTTATAAACATAATAACAGGAATGCTTTTAGTAGACCCTGATTATAGATACACAGTTGAAAAGATTCAGAATTCAGTACTGCCTTAAATTGCTAATTAATCATAATAGCAATGTGCTCTTAAAAATATACATACATGAAAAATTATTAATTCAGTCTACAATGTCTGAATCAATTTTTTCAAACTTGATTTAATATTTCTTAAATCTCCGAGAAGTTCATAACCCACCAATTGGTTTATGTTTTTTCTTCAACAAAAACAAACTCTTCCTCATGCTTAAGGGATTTCCAGAAGTGGTCCTCCAAAGATACAACTGTACAGATGTTACTCAATCTCAGAGACTGCAGAAGTACAGAGTGTGAGATTTTTTTCTTTATAGAAGTACTGTTATGCATAGACTATCCTTCCTCTTGAAAGTTGTTTGCCATTCAACAGTTTCTCATAAACCCTAAGTCCCAGAGGAGGTATTAAATAAATAATTTTTATAAGGATAAAAAATAACATAAAACCAACATAATTATCAAATGTCTACTATATCCAGGGCACTGTAAATTAGACAAAGAAATACTTTAATGGTCCCTGCCCAAAAGGAACCTCAAATATAGATAAGATGATATAAATTCATTAACTTATAATTACCACCAATGATTTCAGTAATAGCTTCAGACAAGAAAGAATCAGAAAGCAACATATATTGCTTACTTACCAAAGAAACAGGGAAGATAAAAACTGCTATTAGGTTTCAGGGAAGGGAGCAATCACTTAAGTCTATAGTATGTGCACTCGGTGCCCGTAGCTCAGCAGCTCGAGCACCAGCCGCATACACCGGAGCTGGTGGGTTTGAACACAGCCCAGGCCTGCCAAACAGTGACAACTACAACCAAAAAATAGCCAGGTACTGTGGCAGGCACCTGTAGTCCCAGCTACTAGGGAGGCTGAGGCAAGAAAATCGCTTAAGCCCAAGAGTTGGAGGTTGCTGTGAGCTGTGACTCCATGACACTCTCTCTATTGAGCAACACAGTGAAACTCTGTCCACCTCCTCCTCCCTCCCAAAAAAGTCTATAGTCGGTGAAAAGGCTCTACAATAGAACTGGATTTCAAATAAGTTGCGTTTTGAAGCGCAAACAAGATTTGAGGAAATTAGGCAAAAACAAGAGTGGATTAAAATATCCTTCATTAAGCTTCATTTAATTCACTGCTTGTTGAATTCTCAATCTGTGGCAATGGTCAAATTTCGCCTTGTAGGTATGACACCCCTAAAAACTTACCATATTATTTAATTACTTATTTTCCCCAACAGCAAGAAATAAATGGGACTCATAAATTCTGAATGACTGGGTTTTTTGTTTCTTTTTTTGAGACACAGCCTCAAGTTCTTGCCCTGGGTAGGGTGCTGTGGCATCACAGCTCACAGCAACCTCCAACTCCTGGGCTCAAGTGATTCTCCTGCCTCTGCCTCCCAAGTAGCTGGGACCACAAACACCCGCCATAATGCCCAGCTATTTTTTGGTTGCAGCTGTCATTGTTGTTTGGCAGCCCGGGTTGGATTTGAACCCACCAGCTCAGGTTTATGTGGCTGGCGCCTTAGCCACTTGAGCCACAGGCGCCGAGCTTTTTCTTTTCTTTTTCTCTTTTTCTAATTTTGCACACAAAATTATTTGTGTGCAACAGTTTGTGTCCAAAAAGCTGGGTGGAAGTAGGATGCAGTAAACTTCAAACAAAGGTTCATTTCTCAATTTTGACTACAGGCCTAACTGTGAGATCTTATCTGGCTAACGGTAAGATCTTATTTGAGGCTTGGCGCCTGTGGCTCAAGCGGCTAAGGCGCCAGACACATACACCTAAGGTGGCGGGTTTGAATCCCCAGCCCGGCCCGCCAAACAACAATGATGGCTGCAACCAAAAAATGGCCAGGCGTTGTG